CTAATGACTTCGGATCATCATAATCGTTTTTCTAACGGATGTTCCTATAGGTATTGCGGGATCCCAAGGATCGTCCCAGTATTCCGGGTACCACTGACCATTTAGGAAGGCGAAGTGACACGCGTTAAACCACCAGCCTCCTCTAACAATACTGAGAGCAGCACAATTAACCCCAGTCCATTTATCGTTATCTCTGTCTGGGGTACTGAAGTACATCCCAGACAAATTGGCCTTAGTATTACTAGTATTTAGCATACTGTCACCTGTATCAAAAACAATAATAAAGTTAAGAACATGACACAATTTTTCGAGATCGAGAGATCCAGGGCATATATTGTTTTTTGTCCTGTTTGTTTATCTATTTGTCTGTTTACCTGTTTGTCTGTCTGTCTATTGTCAACTGTAATAACTTTCATAACGTTTGAACCACGAGAGATAAAGACTTCATATTTGGGGTGCATACTTCACTTATACAGTTCTTTCAAATTACACCAAGGTCAATGACCTTGCCTGTGACCTACATGCCAAAAAAAAAGCTTTTACGAAATTTTGCCATAACGTTTGAACTAAAGGAGATAGAGACTTCATATTTGGTATGCATGTATACTCAATTTTAATTCTTTCAAATGACACTAAAGTCAATGACCTTGTGATCTTGATTGTGAACGATATGCTAAAATTAACTTTATCGAACGTTGTTGCCGCTGGGCGAATAGTGTTTCACAAATACATCTTGTTTACATATATGATAATTAATATATACACTTAGATATTAAGTAAAAAGGAAGTACTTTTGATTGTAAATGTGCAACCAAACATTTTATTTTCCTAATCATGAAGGGAAGGCAAGTATTTTTTTTAAAAAGCTTAAAAATTATTTTATGCATTTATTAAAAAAAATAAACATTTAATTGCCTAAAATATAAGGATCTGATTTAAAAGCAATGATTCAAATGGTGTATTTAGTGAACGTGTGCTGTGACCAGAAAAACTTAAGTAAAACACAACGCCAGAACATGACAGATTTCTCTAAACGCAAATAAGCATATTTATCAAGATCAGTTTTTGTAATTATTTTCACCTCTCTTTCTTCTCTTTCTCGTGTTTAAGGTAAACATTCCACTTTTCACTGACCTAAAGTTCCCGTGACAGGTCCAGACAGAAACAGTTGATACTTGTCTGCTTCATCAGAAATAGAGAATTGGTCATACAGCTCATACAGTGTTGAACCATTCGACAACGTGATGGAAACGTAGAGGGAGGAGTTCTTTCCCATTGTCAACTGATGGATGACGTCATTTCCTTATTAATTTATATACAAAATCTATTGATAATTGTTATGAAAAACCATGGTACAAATATTTTTTCCATATTGTAAATAAATATATCCCCCCCAAAAATAAAAAAAGGTCTATTGCCTGATGTACTAAAACGTATTTAATCTATAACTTATTCTTAAGAAGCTGTGATATTTAAATGAACTCTTGTTATTCTATTCTGTATTGTCAAGTCAATATTTTTTCTTTTATTCAGCTCTATTAATTCTAAAACTAGGATTGAAAGGAATGAAATTTGTCTTGAAATCATATCATCGATTTGTTGGCTAATCTGACATAGCAATTCGATTGTAATTTTTTAAAATATGAAGGCAATCAATGAATTCTATTCACCTATCCAGACATTCTGTTCAGGTGCACCAAAACCATTTTTATAGTCATCCCAATTCTTATCAAAGGTAAGGGACCCATCTATTCGTTTTTGAATGGCCTTAAAAAAATAAACACATATAATAAATTCATTTTATTATTACAAGTATTTGCTTGATCTGTTTGCAATTAACATCATAAATCAGGTATCCCTTTGGACAACTAAATCAATAATACCAGTTAAGAAAACCAAAAATTCCAGTTCACAAGGTATAAATTGATTCTAAATAAACTACATACTGTCCATCCTCCCGCCAAAGTATCCATGTCACAATAAACCCGGAGAGGATGCGATGTGGTCCCAAAGGGGTAGATTTCATAAACACCTGTATTAGTGTGACCATTATCACGGAAATCCTTACAGTCAATAGGTGGAACTGAAATGGAAGAAAAGGAATCAAAGGACTGACATTGCAGGTACATATAGATAGGGAGATAAACAGCTGCAAGATAAAACAGAAGAAAAAGAATCAAAGGACTGACATTGCAGGGACATATAAATAGCAGATTAACAGCTGCAAGATAAAACCGAAGAAAAAGAATCAAAGGACTGACATTGCAGGTACATAAAAATACACAGATAAACTGCTGCAAGATTAAACAGAAGAAAAAGAATCAAAGGACTGACAACTCGGAATAGTTAAGTAGTTTCTTTCTATAGTAAAGATAAAAAGCGAGGGTTTCTGAATATACACGATAAACGCAAAACACGATACACTATAGAACATGATAAACGATCTACACTATAATCGCAAAACACGACAAACAGAAAACACGCTAGAAAACGCAAAACCTGATAAACGGAAAACACGATACGATAGGATACTATAGGATACACACACGATACGATGAGATACACGCACGATAGGACACGATAGAATTGCAAAGAATAACGATGCCGGTACATGTATTTTTCAGTGCTTATTTTCTGAAATAAATTTCGCTTGTATTGTTTTTGTTTCATTGTCGATTTAAACGATATAGAATTTCTTTATTTTGATCATTGAAACCCATTTTGTCGTATTTGTATTTAGTTATTTACAATTTTTTTTTCATGAATCTCAGATGATAATTAAAAAATAAAAAAAATTGCTTTCCCTATGCAGAACAATGAAAAAAAAAACAGTATTCATGCCAAAATAGCGTCTCCAAAAACAGATTATAAAGACTATATGCACTTAAGTGAAGCCATTGGGAAGTGCACTTAATAACAATAGGGAAAACAATAATCGAAAGAAGTTAAATATTGGCACAATGTATGCATCTTAATTTCAATTTCAAATATAAACATGTCAAGATTTCAAACAATAGTATTTCTTATACAAATTGAAATCATTATTCTGATGCAAACATTTGCATTTTATATGTAAATATAAGCTACTTAAATTGTGCGAGCTTTTTCCAACTCTATCATCGATTTTTCCAGTCTTTTTCGACAATAATAAATCAAGGAACGAAGATAAATATAACCTTAAACACAACATCACCTGCTACGATAACTTTATAATTTGTCTTCTCTTTTGAAACGTAAATTTATTCAACGTGTATACACATTAATATCTTTCGACAAATCAATCAAGATATTCCTAAACATGTAAAAAAAAAAATACCTAAAAGATTACTCTGTCAATGTTGAACTACGCAAAGACAAGAGTAAAATGTTTTAAAATCCACAAAATATATATTCTCAATTATGTAATATGTACATGTATTATAATAGGGAAATTGCTACACTCATGCTTCCTCGATGAACAATAAGGGATCAATTTACATTATTGATATCTTGTATCTTTATGACTGAGATTTTTACCCATATGTAATATTTAAGATTTTAGATACAAATTCTAAAAAAAAAAAATCAATTTCAAAATTTTTATGAGCGATCAAGGAATCCAAAGCTATTTCTTATGTTACAGCCACTACTTAAAAAAAAAATTAAGATATCGAATTAATTCCAAACTGCAATTTCCTATTTGTTCAAAATTTGTTCAAAATGATACCATATCATTGATCATTCAAAGTTTAAAAGGAAACATGTCATTTAAAGTATTGTCTCTTTTAGATTAAAACATCTTTTTCTTGATACAATGATATTATGCCGTATGACATTTGAATATCAATTACTGCTGATTAAAACAGACCAAAGAGAAAGTATCGGAAATGCACATGCAAATCATACAAAATATTTAACTGAAATCAAAATAATGAAAGTAATAATGATAAACAGAAAGAGGTAGGTTCATTAACTCCATAAAATGGCCCTGTCAATATACCAATTAACTGACCAGATCCTAAAGTCCCATTTCGAACATCAACATAAAGTAGAGACTTAGTGCTTTCATTTCCTGTTAAAAATTTTCCTGTAGATGTCCAAATTTGGAAACTCAGGCCTTGTGAAACTGCAATGTTCTTGATTTTTGAAGAAAATGGGTGAAATTTAGCATCTTCAACTGTCGATAAAAATATGAGCCCACCCCGCGATCCAAAAAATATTTCATGGATTAGAATCTTCTGAAACAGTTCTTTCATATTATATTTGAACATTTTAGATCAGAGGTTGGGGGCTATGCAAAATATTTACATACAGCTTAAATTTTTGGTCCCTTTTACAGAAATTTTCAAGATTTGAGGAAAATAACGAAATTCATGACGTCATAATACATGGGCAGGAGAAAAAATTACGTCATTTTTATTTGGTATGAAGTCACTAAGGGTCCAAGTGAAATTTAACATATTTTAAACTAAAGCTGAGTAGTTCTGATTTTTCAGAAATTCACAGGGCTAAAATTTGCACAAGGTGAACTTTGTTCTTTAGATAAGATTGTCGTTTAAAAATCATTTTTGAAGTGAAACAATATCCGAGACAAGGCGCAAAAGAAGTATTTTTGAATTTAAGAAGGGAAACTTGTATCATGCAAATAAATTTAGATATTTATGAACCTCTTAGTACTGTAACAAGCTTTAATAATAGTAAAATAATAATAATAATAATAATAATAATAATAAAAGGCATACAATCATTGAAGAAATATCTCCAACCGGCCTCGTCAGACGTGTTAGACGTAAAGATTTTCTTGTGGGTCCGGCACTTCTTCATAACAGAATTGTATCCAAAACCACTACACTCCTTTTGACACATGGCAGCACACCTAGTCTTCGAGTGTGCTTCGTTCTCTCCCAAGAGTTCGTTATTTGACTTCTTGTTATTTAAGTCAAGGTCTGCGGTGTATCTTTGTAAGAAAATGGTAGCTTGAGACATGGTGAAGAAGAAAAGAATAAATATATATAAACCCCGATGATTGTTCATTTTTTTGGTCTCTGAGTGAACTAAAGAAACATCCGGGTCCTTTTGAAGATACTGCATATTGGCATTTAAGCTGGCAAATATAAATAATACAGCCTTGATGTATAGCAGACTTTGATTGGTTGTTCGTTCAGTTTTCTATATTGCGATTTAGCTGCAATATTGACTTTATGAATGAAAAGCATTGGAACTTTAAGCATGAATATCGGCATCTTGAAACAAACGTTAAAATTCTTTATTGAATACTTTTCTTATTATCAGAAATTAAATGTGTTTAATTTGTTTCTTTGTCTATTTTTGTATTTTTTAAGCTAAAAATTTTAGTTGATTAGGGATAGATAAAAGCATGTTTATATTTTTGTAAATAGATATAGTATAAAAACCAAAACTATAATACAAATTTAAAGAGAAAATTTTCCTTTTTTAATGTTGATGGTTACAGTAATTATTTCAGTGTGATTTCACAAATTGTCTACGTGTTTTCTACTCATTCAATTTGTACCGTTGTTGTTTTATTCATAATTCATTGATAAGTTGAAAACTTCTATAGTACTATAGTATGTTAATATTTGTAATATATTCGTCATATTATTGAAAAAGTATTTAAACCTTTAATTGTTATGTGGATACGGGTTGGTACCAAATTAAAAGTACCACATGCACTCAGGGCTTTATTGGATTTGAACAGAAAAAAAAAACATTATTTAAACCCCAATAAAAATCTAAATGCAAAAGTTGAGGATTACGTTCAATAACTGATCTCAGTAAATTCATAAATAATTAAAATTTGTGAAAGGGCATAAAACTTCAACTCATGGAAATTCTAAATACAGTAAAAAGTTCAAAGAAGTTCTTTTTAAAATTAAAACTCACTTAATATTTAACATTTGGTTACTCCGTGACACTTTTTAATTGCTAATTGTTTTTTTGAAGCAAATTTTTGAGTATGATCATTCATTTACTAGAATGTAGCAGATCCTATGATTTCCTGTGCTTCTTTTCTTTCTGAAACTTAAAGGTCGTTTTGCAAGTTCCGGGGATGTAACAAGTCAATGTTTGAAAGTTATGTGTTGTTGTGAAAAAAACATTAACTTTCTGTTTATCTCCAACACTCCTTTTTACACCATGGCCTGTGGGTTTGGAGCTCTTCATGAAGAACTTTAAAGTTGTAAAATTATTCTACTGGTTCCTTCCTCTTTTAAACTTTTATTGCAGAAATTCTGCTTTATAGACTTCTCTTGAAATTGAACTTCCTTCTTAAATACGACTTTGAACAACACGACCACTAATATATATATATAAAAAATAGCATATAAGACCTTTAGATGTTCTCGCAATTTTTTGCTCTCCTCAGGCCTATGCTGTTTTGTCAAGTACATCTTATTGTAAATTTGTTTTAAGAGGTTAAAGAAAAAAGCTTCATTATCTGTTTGAATTCAGAAAAAATGGATAAGTACAATATTTGATTTTTATATATAATTGTTTAGATATTCTGACACGCTGCTATGTTGCCTTGGTCTGCCAGTAAAGGTTTAACAGAAATTAAGTCTGGGCTTCATGATACAGGATACATACCTTTCAGTTGAAACGATACACAAGAGCAGGGTCTACGTATGTTCTACAATGATCTTGTCAGCAAATACATTTATCAATGAGTGAAATACTGACTGACGTTATAAGGCCAGTAGGCGATGCTCATTCCTCCATGGCACCTGATCCCACCTCTGGTGTTTTTAATGTCCGTGTTTGCTCTGCTCTGATTTTATATTGTTAAATGGACATGTGAGCTTGAATATTGTTCATTATCTCTATATATGTCACTTTTATGATGGTATTTTCCCCCGAAATTTGTTACTATCATTGCTTAATTTAATAAACAACCAATTTAATTTTTCGTATTGTTTATTGTATGTATTTTTGTTGTTAATTATAGCATAGTGAAGAAAAGGAAACTAACATTTACTAATTTGTTAAACACTGTCAGTTTCTGAATCAGCATTTTCACCACAATTCCATTTAGGCTATAATTATTTTGTTCCGAGTATATGTAGTAAGTACATTTATTTCTATCAAGGTTCATTGGGACTGAGTGTCCAAACATCACTGTTATCATGCTTGAGTTGCATAAAAAGAAATACGATACAACTTCTTGTCAAGAGACCTGCTGCATACCTCAGGTATATTAAATGTCTTTCTTTCATCCATAAAATATTTCTTATTTGGTCAACCAAGAATTGCGACACGAAATGTAGTGACTAGAATCTGAAGCCCATTATTTAAAAAAAAAAAAAGATTTGAATGCAGTGGTCCCGCACTGTGGTCTATCATATATTTTACATATATAGTGTATTACTTTTTTCTTATTTAAAAAAACTTCAGACAGCAGTCAGAAATATTCGACTAGGACGTACATTTCTCCGAACTGCGAATTAAAGTACATAGTCAAATGCATATAAAATGTCAACACCAAAGTTAAGCCTACAAATTGAAGAAGAGTCTTACATTTATCCCTTTGGCAAATATATACCATAATGCAATCGATCAAGGTTTTCATTAAATCCACTATTCTTCCTGTGTTGAGAGGTGTTTTTTTATTGATCAACAAGCATCAATTGTAAATAATATTTTTTTAAAAATGCACAAAAATTACTTGGTACCCCTTAGCTTCTAACGTTTCGCTTCACAAAATATACATGCTGGAAGAATAATCACGAAATCAAAACTACTTACTTTTAAAGGGTTGTTACAGAGAAAACATGGAAGACATATAATTAAATAATCGTGTATAAATGGTTTCCAGTGACTTGACATTTCTCTATGTTTCGTGTAAAGCAACATGAGCAATGACCGAGGAGAAAAGTTATTAAAGTGGCACTATTACGCTTCTCTTCAAAAACAGACTTGTTAAACTTTTCCTATAGGATTTGGAATTATTTTTCATACTCATAAATGTATACTCTTTCAGAAAAAAGTAAATAATTCTAATTATTTCATTAGAATTAATAATTATTTATGGTACATAAATATATACATCGCAACGTGTTCGAGGTTCCACATTCCATGCTATACACGCACATGACGCATGCGTATAGATTTCATAAACAAAACAGCATGGTAAGAGAGAGAAGCCCGGTAGGCCTGCTACATTGACAAAGTTGATCAAAACAAAACACGAAACCATAAATAGGGCTTGAAATTTAAAAGCAACTTTCCTGACAAAAATTTAGTTGGGAAATTAATATAATCATTGGATGAAGAAGAAACGGAATCAGTGCGACACTCAGGTGGGGCTCGCGAAGGTTTTAACCTACAGGTTTGTTGATATACATGGTATCATTTCTCGTATCTCCATGGCTTTAAAAAAAATAGTGTAAACTCAACGTTAAAATGCATTTATTACATATAAAATTTATTGCCATTTGAAGTGAAAATTTTATTGGAACTACAGAAACATTTTGCCGCGATGACGTATGATTTGGTAGATTTTCCTTTCCTGCACCCCTATACACAAAACGTCAACATTTGTACTTAATCATGTTAAATTCATCTGGAATGCAGACTTAAATGTTAACTATTATTAATTTACCGGAGAGTTATAATATTTTTATTCTGAGAATTGCTTACCCTAATATCCCATTATAATTGTAAACCCTACATTCTGTGCACGTGCCATTTTAGAATTCACTTGGTACAAGTAAACAGAGATAAACAGATCGAGCTAACTTGTACGACCCTTGATTTTCCGGCAGATTCTAATTACGTTAATTTTGTGTGAGGAGAGAATATTTATTTTCTCAAACTGCTTACTTCAACTTTTTACTTTATTACTAAATGATATATTGGGTAAATGTGAATGAAAAAGCACACGATTTGCAGCCGTATTGCCGCTTTAAATGAAAAAGTGTAATGGAATCCCCCAGTCACACACACTATTGTCAGAAACTCATTTAAATTAATACCTTGTGATTTAAGTAAAAAAATATGAAAATCCAATTTTCTTTTTATTTTCTTTTTTTTTTACTTAGAAAAACAAACCGCCCTTGATATCATTTCAGAGATTGAAAAAACTATTTAAAAGTTTTCGTTGTCTCTCGCTGATTGCTTTTAAAATTTATGACTTACCATTTGGCTTGGCTGTACAAAAATATATTATCAAATAAGAAATTTACCAGTACCTATTTAGCACGTATTTTAAATTTACTTGAAGAAACCTTGAGTGCGGACGACAAGAAAAGTATAAATCATGGCAATTTTCTTATCTGGTTTGTTATTTGCAAGTAGTCAGTACTCTCTAGACGTCAAACTCTCGTGAAAATTGTAAGTTCTCTTTAATTAAAGATTAAAGAACTAAGTAAGTAAAAATTTTAGCAAGAATAATGTGTTTTAAGCATTGCTGAGGCTGAAATAAGGGACACAGTACAGTAAAGGCAACATTTTCTATAAAAGCTCCAGGAGTCCGATACATTTAATGTTTAATATTTTTATTTTTTAGCTAGACACTCTAGTTAAAAAAGCTATTTTAGTATAAGTATTTATAATTGAACAAATAAACGTAAAGTTTATTTACGAAATGAATTTATTTTTTGAAGATTCATGAGGTTATGAACTACGACGCTTCACGACGGCATATTTCATGAAGCGCGTTATCTTCAAAAATTAAACTCATTTTTTATATTTACATTATTTTCTGATGACTTCCCATAAATTTACGCCATTCAACGGTCAATTTCAAAGTAAAACAGTGTGCATCATATTTTTTGACGTCAAGTGCGGTTTTATGATGTAACAATAAATATTAGTCGGTTGCATTTATTTATCTATTTTTTTAGGGTGGGCTATTTTGAGGGTATTACCACTGTCCTGCTTATAAATAGGTACAACTTTTTCCAGAACAAGAGGCATAAGGGCCTTAACGGTATTATGAGACACAGAGTTAATAACAATTAAGAGGATCCATAAACTGATAAATGGAGCTTTGTTGTCCAGAAGCAATAAGCAATCCTTGGCTGACTCCGCTACGCTCCATTCAAACCTCAGATTGTATTGATTTATTGTATATTGTTTTAACGTCCCTCTTGAGAATTTTTCACTCATATGGAGACGTCACCGATGCCGGTGAAGGGCTTCAAATTTAGACCTATACTTGGCACTCAGGGCCATTGAGCAGTAAGGGTTCTATATCGTGCCAACGCCTACCGTGACACGGGACCAACCTTTTTAAGGTCATATCCGAAAGACCCCTGACTTTCACTTCTAGTGCCGAGCGCTCTACCACTAGGCTACCGTGACCGGTTCAAACCTCAGATGATAGGTGGAGTAATACACATCATATGGATACATTTCTTCGCCGGAAACTGTCTTGTCACTCTTTCATATTTCGCTTTGCATAATTTTCTTCGAAAGGGTTTTTAATTTGTCTATTTTTTTTTATTGTATATTCATCAAGAACATAACGTTGAGTGTGACACAAAGTAACTCAGATTTTAAAACGATACTATTTAAATGAAATTCGAATGAAATCACAATACTGAATAAGCAAGATGGTAGAACTCCTTTGACGCCCGAGGTTATTGTGCGAGGTACAAGCCACCCGAGGAGCTCCGAGTGGTCCAGAAGCAAGAAAATTAGAATAACCAGGATTAGCAAAGTAATTGTTCTAGTAGTTTCTATCAAGTACATTATTTACAGGGATAAATTACCAAAAGTGAATGTCAAAAGGGATTTCTTCCTATTAGTGAAATATAAATCAATGGAAACCTGGTCAGGACCAGATCACTTGATAAAATGGTCCTGACGTTCAAAAATCTGGTTTACCTTTTTTATTACAACATTTACTCTTTTTGCCACCGATATGCGAATGCAGAGATATGCAGATAAGATTTTCAAAGAAAAAAAAAATTTCACCACAGTTTAAATGAGACCTCCCCTTCACCAAACCTTTAACCCAGGGCCATGGAATTTACAGATTTAGCAAAGATACCCTCATCATCATAATTATGCGATTAAAGTTTAAGAGAAAGTTTTACAAACAAATACCACATTTTAAGAATGTATTATCTACAGAGCCCCCCCCCCCCTCCACTGAGGAAGTGGGATCAAAAGAAAATGTATAAAAGCAACCTTGTTCATCAAAACTACATACTTGTATCTTAACTTTATACGCGATATGCATCTCCACTTTACAATCAATGGAGCACATCCCCCCTCCCTCCCTCATAAGAACCACTGACCCTGGGAACAAGAATTTTAAGATTTTGAAGAAGCAATTCTTGTTTATAATACTTCCTTTCACTGATTAATAACCAGGAGCAGATTAGAAGATTTTTAAAGAAAAAATGCATTTTCAAAACAAAACATAATACAGTAAATAATCAACAGAGCCCCATCTTAATACCAGAACTCGTTACACAGGGGCCATGGAATTCACAATTTTGGATAAGGCATCCATGTTCATCATAACTTAATAAACTTGGTTAGTTTATTAAATACCCAGGGGCAGAGAGGATTTACAACAAAAAAATATGCATTTTCGCCTTATATACTATAACAAATTGAATCTTACCTTAACACCAAAACTCTGACATAGGGACCATAAAATTCACAATTTTGGAAAAGACACCCTTCCTCATTATGATCTATTATTAAGTTTGTTTGTTTAATACCTAATAGCTGAGAAAATTTCTGTTCACATAATGATATTGTAATTTACTTAGACATTTCCTTCTATATTATTTTTGATGGAATATAAGAAGGATATATATATATATATATATATATATATATATATATATATATATATATATATATATATATATATATATATATATATATATATATATATATATATATATATATATATATATATATATATAAAGGACAAATAATAAAACAAATTTGAAAAATCATAATATACATAATCTTTGTTTGGACTTGAGAATGATTGGAAATTCAAGGAAACAAAAAGATTGATTATCAAGTGAAGATGTATGTATTCCTTACTAAAGATTGAAGTTTACATACAGATTACATTAATTTCAGCACAATAAATATAAAAGCAAATAATATTCCTTCCTAAATGGTGCTTCTAATGAAATTATGCGATAAATAATCCCTTGCATATATTTAAGAATTTGCTGTCCTTCATTTATTTGCATCGCGGTGCTAATAATTTTTTAAGTATATATATTTTTTTAGCATACAAAAAAAAAAAACAGTGTCGTCTCTTTTCATGTACTCCAGTTATCTAATTTATCAATTACATTTCTTCTCTTTTCATTTTATTAAATGTTGACATATTTACAATTACAACTTCAAATGTTAAAAAAAGTCAAAATTATTAATGAAAACAAGATTCTCATCACAAGATATATATCACTTGATATTGAGATTGCTTTAACTTCATTGAAAGAAGAAAAATTGAAAAAAAAATGATTCAACAGAAGTTTTTAAAAAATCATTTAAAGTACGTCAGGTTTCATAATTTTAAATTTTGAATTTACTGGGTGGCAAACGCAGTAAAAAAAACCTAATATGTCAGAGTTTTCAACTGTGAAATTTATATTTATATTGCAACCTCATACATTCAAATATACAATAAGGCACAACAGTATGAAAAAGATAAACATTGTATATGAGTCATACCAAAAATTAACATGCTAATTAAGGTTCATGTATGAGGACCAGGTTCAGGAAGTCATCATGCACATGTATGTAAGGTGATAGTTACCAATTGCTTCAACCTTAAATTTTCCTCACTTTTTCAATGTTTAAATATCCACGGACATTCAGCATTTAAAATATGTCACTTGCAGGAAAGTGGTAATTGAAAAAAAAGTGTAATTGACTTTTATTAATTACATTTTTTGAAGTAATTGGTAGTAATTATAATTGAACATTTTTTTTTTCAATTTCTTGTTATTGTAATTCAATTATTTACACTGAAAAAAATACCATTGAATTTCAATTACTTTTTCAATTACATCAATTAGAACCAACAATGTTAGAAAGATACAACAATATATAGATTGGCAATAAACTTCCAGGTCATTCAAATTATACATACAATATGACACAACAGTACAAAAAAAGATATATTTTCATTTCTCTTTTTTTCCCTCAGTGATAACTCTTTGAAAGTTATCGGAGATGATATCTTGATAATTCTACCAGAATGTAAATTAGGCAAAGTCGATAGGTCAGGAGCTAAGGAGGCGCAATATGCATGCAAAGCTCGTGCACATCTGTCTCTGTGTTTGATGCTAAGAAGGCCAAATGTCCATGTGAATCTTGTGCAGCTGCCTTTGTGTTTGAAATCAGTGGGAGAGGACTATTAAAATTGGCATTAGATTTCCGAGTATTTTTAATCTATGTCTACATTTTTAAAATAAAAATCTACAAGTTTATCTCACAATGAAATGGGAATATAAGGAATCGCTCTCTAGTTAGTATAGTATGTCAGGGATTTCAACGATAGTGGGAAACATGGGATAATTTATGCAAAAACGGGATTCGCCCGATTTGCAAATTATAGCATGTTTCCCACTTGAGGCCATGGTATACGAGTACTATACTAGACAGTCATTCCTTAAATAAACATTGTTTATGAGTCACGTCTAAAATTAATGTTAATTATAGTACATGTATGAGGACCATAAAGTTAAATTCATGAAGTCATCATGCACAGGTTGAACAAATTTTTTGATTTGAAATTATTCAAATCATCAATCACACTGATTGATACGTCCGAGCATGAGGACGTCCTTGATACACATCATTACCATTATCTGATAACAAGGAGGTGTTCTCAGAAGCCTCGTTGTGGTGATCAAGACTCGGCTTCCGGCCCAGGTGGTTCGCATCCGCTTCCAGGTCACGGGACAGAAAAGCAACAGATGTTCGATAATTCTGGCCAAATCGATATGGCGCACGCGCAATAAAGTGAGAAAGTGTTGAAAATCTGTGTAACAACATGCAGAGAAATTGCAGAACAAACAGAAATCCAAATACGATTAGGAATAATAAACCTATAAAAAAAGAAAAATTGAACAAAGTCACTTAATAGTATGTGCACCTATTTGTTTTATAAAAAAAACACAGAAAATTTATCATAATAACGTATTCCTTTTCATAAGTTTCCGTAACCCCTGTATATCAGCTACAACTTATTTGCAGAGATATTAGCTTTCAAATCGTTATCTATGGACTACTAGTATCATTGTTCCAACGAAAAAAAAATTCTTCTAATTTCTGTGTATATACTTGCTGGATGACATTGTCTAGGTCACCTCTAACTTTTGGACTTATATACATGTATATTTACTAACTGGATAAAGTTACCCGAGTTGCACCGGATTTTTTTTAAACATATGGTTTTATTTACTCCCTGGATGAACTTGTATAGGACACTTGATACTTGTGGACATTTTATATACTTAGTGGATTAAGTTGCCCCGGCGACTTACAGGTCGACACTTACAGAATATGGACTTAAACTGATTACTTACTGAGTATGTTAGTCCCAGCCACGTTTAAGTCGATACTGCTGGATAACGTCATTATAATCACTATCCATAAACAGTTGACTATTCCTGACACCATCAACCATTCGTTACGTAACGTCCTTAAATTTTCTACAAATACCAGAGGTCTGATTACTTTCTTATTCCGGAAATGCAGGACTTAAAAATAAAACCTTGTATGTACAGGTACAGGTATATAATGTGAAGATAACGAACAGAACTCAATCTATCTCATATATAGAGATATAGCATCATCACTGTGCGCATGCGTGTGTGTCTGTTATGACCTCTTTTTTTATATTTTAAAGAGACAAAAATGATGCCGTGTACCTAACGTCTCAAAAAAGGACATTTAAAGACGCACATTTCAAACCAATTTCATTTAATTACAAAGAACATGTAGAGGCCATCCAAACAAAAGCAGTACAGTACTGTTACTCCTTCTCATTGCTGGTATTCTTAAGACTGTGATATTGTATCTTGAATTTTTAAAGAATATTACCATATCTTTTTTTAACAAAATAATTTGTTTAATGCTTTTTTTTTCTCTCCCTATTCTATTTACTTTTTAGAGTTTGCTCCAAACTGAATACATCTGCCGAGGGCGCTAAACAAGTCTTAATGAGATCCACCCAGAACTTGTTCTCTTGTCCATTCACGCTTCCCAAATCCTTCAGATTGTGGACCTTACCAATCTGCTTCTTAATTTCTGTAATGATCTGCTCCTCTGAAATAATGAAGAAGAGTACCGTTGTATATTTTAAGATGTAAAAATCATATTTTATTATTCAAAGAGAGAGAGAATTTGACGAGATTTTTTTTATTTAGATACAATTATGATAACTCAGAAATTAAAGGCAAGATTTTTATAATAATATGTTTTAACCTTTGGCTGGCTGTCGAAGGCATGCAATAGCATCAAGAAGACGCTGTATATGACCTGAATTAATATCAAATAAATGAAGCATTTAAAAACATTTAATGATATAAAAACTTCATATTGTAAAGATAATATAGTACAAAAATGTACAACCAAAGAATCACTCTCTAGTTTGCTGGGTAAACCTCTATACATAACTCTACCTGATTTTGTTATTCTGAGATCCTCCTTTATTTCTTTCTTTGTGATTGTCTTCAACACTTCCATATCTTGAACTGTTTTGATTTGGTTTCTATTGAAGTTCTGTTTATATTCAAGTAAACCAATCCCGCTTAGCCAAGAATGCACATCGTTCTGAAAAAATGTTATATTTTTATCTTATGTAATGAAAATCATACTGAAATTGCTTGTTGTTTTAAAAGAACATACACAACGTAGTTTTTTAATATTTTTTCTCCTTTAATATTTAATCTGGTAATAGTGTTCACCTCCTCCAGATCAAACTTTAGGGAAATACTAACAAAACTATATATACATTTTTTTCTTCTTTAAATATACTAGTGTTTTCATCAAGTTTCACTTGGTTAAAACTGATAACTTATGCTATTTTTTTTGTTGTAAAAACATCTTGTTTTTCCCAGATTGAAAATTGAGAATATCTAACACAATTATCCTTGGGAAAGGTACAATATAAATTTGTGTACATGTATGTTGCGTATGTAATTAATCTAGCATGTCAGCTTTTTTTTTTATATTAACAAGATTTGCATTACATGTACTGATACAGTGTATATAAAATATTTTACAAACACAAACCGGAACACCAATAGGGATTTTAAACTCTGGAATATCCTGGATTAACCGGAACAATTTTTTTCGGTGAGCAACTTTCTTGATCCCTATTTGCTTAAGGTCGTTTTCTGTCAGCATTCCAAGGAAGTTCGAATTTTCATATCCATTTTCGACAAAGTTACGAGCATACCCCTGATAAAAGGAAAAACAAATGAATTCAGTTACAGTGTTAAAGGTTGACTATAACGAATCAAATTAATTTCATGAATCAGAAAAAAAGATTTACAATCCTGACCAGGGAAAACAAACCTATTCTTTTGAAAGGTGATTAATCATTCTTGTACCAAAGCTTTTTAGTTTTGTATAATGCTAGATAAGAAGTGGAGAATCAAAAGTAAAGAATCTCAATTTTCAGACAAAAAGACCATCAGTTCTATCATTTAGGGTTTTTTTTAAGGATGTTTGTATACATTTGCAAATGGAAGAAGAACCCTAAAAATGTATTTTGCCATATGAATGAAATATTTTAGCGCTTTTATAATGGTTTTAAATGGTGAAGAGAAGTTTGTTTCTCGTTTGGAATGCTTTAAATTAATAATGGGGCCGACTGGTTTCCATGGCGCAATATTAAGCGCTGTAAAAGGAAGCGTATTTATTGTTTTAAAACAATTTTTCACTGAATTAAATGAACGTAAAAAAAATATCACAAACAGCTCTGATTTTGGGGTTCCATTGTTAAAAAAGGAAAACAATTAATTTAAATGAAAATACATTTAAATTCACATGAATTATCACAAATTAAGGCCAGCTTTCAAAATGATGACTTGTGTTGGAAAAATTTTGTCTGATCGTAGGTGATTTTTTTTTTCAATTTCAATGCTGAATTTTAAAATCTATTTTCCAGAGTGCATAATGAAAAATTTGCTTTATGGTGTGTAAATATTTTAAGTTAAGAAAGCTCAATGTTCTTTAAAACAACGTTATCATGTTTCATTAAATCGTTTATTTTTTTAATCAAAGAAATAAATTATCAGTTTCACAGGAAAATCCAACTTTGATACATCATTGATATGTCTCAATGTAAAAAGTGTAAATTTGAATTAAAGCAAAAGCTCAGAAGACACTAATTTTAAAATTAGCATTTACAAAGATTAAATTTTTTTTCGGAAAAAATAATTGGAAAAGCAAATAATACATGAAATGCGTTTTACCTTCATGCCGAATGGAAGCCAGGTTCGAACATCAAGAGGGTTATTTTCATGAAATTCCTCTTCTCTTTCAAAATTGTCTTTTTTGAAATATTTATACAAGATATTGTAATAAAACAGACACAAAAAAACAGATGACGCAAATTTGATAGCAATTAGAAGAATACAGGTAAGAAAAATAGTAAACAAAATTATGATTGAAATTTAGTTACAGTGTAGTAGGGATGGCAATCGAATACAGAATTGCTAATCGGTTCACCGCAAGATGTTCCAACCGATTAACAGGTAATTTATCTCAATCTAAACTATTTTGATCTGCATATGAATTATAAATGACATATTTTTCACGTAAGTTCATTTTTCTATTTTTCATAAATTGTGTCATTAGACAATTCAAAAATATGGCTTAAAATTAAACACTTCTTTCGATATTTTACATACACTCCAACTTCTAGAGAAGATAAATATGTTCAATAATGAAATGAAAGAACTGTGTTATGGTTTGAAAACCTGTCTCCAGCATGCTTTCAAGGTAATCAGGTCTTGCTCTCCTCGCTGCATCCCTTCCACGATCGTCAGGCAGTGACGTATATAGAGGACTGCCTACAAATACAATTTGGTATAACACTTCGAAGAAGAATGTCTGCACAAATATTGATTCAATTCATCATAATGACGTTGAAAGGGTTCTTTCAAATGGAGGGAATGCATAATTATTAAATTTTTTTAAGAGAAAAAAAATGAAAGCCAACCAAAAGTAAATAAAAATACCAAATTCCAAGTTAAAAAGAATCAACAAGATGCATTTGCGAAGGGCAAATGAGTAAACCAATTTAAAAAATTAAAAAATTTCCTGTAGTTGTATGCATTTTATAATGTAAGCTTATTACATAAGAACCCGGAATGACCTTTACCTTTATACCTAAACCCAGGGCCTACAGTCTTAGAAAAGTCTCCAGGAAACAAAGCCTCGTTTTGATCATGAGAATCACTTTGAGGAACATCCGTTTCCGGTTCAGTTGTTGGAGGTGAAGGCTCTTTCTTCTCAAAACAACTTAATAAGGAAAAATAATGTATAACATACAATAGGATAAATCATATGAAAATAACAAACAGTATTCAAGCCCTCAATAGTCCATAAAACAATATACGATTAAGCAGCAGAGCAATTACGGTTAGAGGTGGAATCAGGTGCCATGGAGGATGCCCTGCCGACCGGTTACGAAGGTCATGTGCTCTTTGCCATGATCGAAAAACAACGGAAAATCCGTCGTCAATTCAGTATGTGAATAATGGCCTAACAATTAGTACGAAAAACAGTCAGCATTTGACTCAATGATATATTGTATAAAATTGAAATTCAATTATTTCACTTACAAGAATATCTTTCTCATCGCTGTCTCCAGTTTGTCATACCACGGCTTGTTATCTTTCACAGTGTCGTGTAACTTTTCCTCTCTTGTCCCTGATTATATCCAAGAAAAAACCTTGTTATTTCAAACTTTAATTTCGAAATTTCTGATGATTTGAGATGTAGAAATAAAAATACACATAAAAAAATTCTTAGGACTTCCATTACACTTCCAAATAAAGTTCGAGATACAGTATCAGAATGGACGTTATCGAATTCAAATGCATAATTATCCAAATGAAACATATTGAGATAACGAACGGAATTCAAGATGAAGAGGCGGGACAAGGTGCCAAAGAGGAATGAACAGCCCCTGCCGACTATTATTAATTGAAAAAGAATTGCATTACATACATGTTATCAATTTATCATCACAAACTCCGGGACCCAAAATGGATATTTTAAAACCATTCTAACATGAGATAGAAGTACAAATCCCAGGAACGGTCCATGATGTTAACGACACTGTAAATGTTCAACACCAGGTACCCGGATGGTAAACAAAGAAGATACGTGAATCCATGCAGGAGACAAGCGATTTCTGTAGGATGAAACGCTCCGCTGACAAGGAATATGGCAATTAAAAGACCAAGATACAAGGTCACAACGGACACCGGAAAATCGTCACTAATGGCTAAAACAAAGTATGTAGAAATAATTACAGCAGGTTACTGTTCTTCTGGTTATCTGATTTTTTCTTGTATTTGTCATTCAAAGGATTAGATTACATGAATCCTGAAAAAGTCTCGAAGCAATTTTTTTTATATAACAATTATCATTGTTTCAGAGTTTTTGTTAATTTTGCAAAATTCTAATTAAAAAAAATAATAATAAATGTCCCTGCATAAAGAACAATGAATAAGGGTGAATTAACCATGGATCAGGCAGCATTCTAGAGAGAATTAAAAAAGCTAGGTACGTAATACAGTACTCTGTTTGCTACGAGAAGTTAAATGGTAGAATTATACCAGGTATAAACTTAAGGTCATTCATAAAATTTTGTACGAACAAATGCTGAAATTCTCAAATTATATGGAAAAATAGAACAATTTTTTTTTCTCTTTGAATTGAAATTATACCTCCTGGGCCAATAGTCGGTTGTACAGTGACAGTTTTGCCGTCTTTGGTTTCGACCTTCACCTTGTCGTTAAGATTTATAAGATCTTCTTCTACCTGCTCTGCAATCCCGACCACCACTGCTGTCATGACAACCGCGTACAGGAAAGTGATGACTTTACCAAACTGCAATGTGATGTAAAATATGATGAAAGTATTTTTTAATAACCATCAACCACCCTGACATTAAAAAGGGAACATAAATACATGTAGTACAATATGTACATATGAACTCAAGAAAGTTTAACTTTCAATCACACGAAAAACATTATTTTGCAATAATTCTTTATAACTTATATGCAAGTTACAAAAAGTGAAAATGCACTGAATCATTGTTATATACAATTATTCATATATGACTTTACTTCATTAAACATAAACACTCTTGAAACTCGTATTTCAAAACTTATTTTTCAAGAACACGTCAAAAGAAATAAGGGTTCTTCTGGGAATTTTCTGTTTACAAACTTTTTCTCTGCAAGAATTCTACCTGCATTTGCCACGTTTCCTCTGTGTACAAACAAACCCAGGTATAAATCACACAGACGACGACTTGTAGTACCACCGCCAAGATCAAGTCAACATTCCAAGCGTAATTCAAGCCACCTACAATATGAAAATAGGAAAATTACCTACTTTGGGATTTCGTTTTTTGAAAACCTTTATGATGATGAAAGACAGCTCAGTTTAACAATAAAAAACTGACAACTTTATTGATATCTTTAGAATTGACAGGAGATGAAAGATTTCTAAATGATTAAAGTGTTGATAAAGTTTATGATGTTCTTGATACATGTACTTATATCCATTATTATCAGAATAAAGATACTGATGTCAATGACAATTTCAATACTGACTTTATTGATGATTCTTATTACATAAGGCCATTGATTCTTTTGATGATGTTGTTCATAATTATACTGATGATTAAATAATTAACGATGCTTTTTTACATTATAATGTTGATTTTGATGAAGCTGTTGATATTGTTTATGATTTTGACGATGATGATGTTTATTGTTGTTTGTGATGAAAATATGTTGATAGTTATGATCAAATAATGATGCTTATTGCATAAGAATGCTGATTTTGATGATGATGTTAATGTTATTTCTGTATTGTGGGTTAATCCCTCATATACCTGGGTTTATTTACTCTTTTATATTTGATGTTGATATTGACGATGATGAAGTTTATTTAAGGAATGTTTTTTAGTTTTGTGTGAGTTATTTTTTGTGAATCACACACACCTTTCACGTAGGCAAATTTCATGAAGCGCGCTAGCGCTTCACGAAAAATATGCCTACGTGCAAGTCTGTGTGATTCACACACCAATAATTCACACTAAACTGAAAAACATTCCTTATATTTACATTTTACATGTTTGGAAGCAACTAAAATATACTCAATATTTGAATTTTTCGCTGTCCTATATCGCTGCATTTTTACTATCGTCGCTGTAGCCTCATTGTGACGTCACGTTAACACACCTTTCTCCGTGTATATTTCTACGCGTGAGTATACACAAACATGACTTTCAAATCAATTTTTACAGTTGGCTTAGTAGAAAAACACAGCGAATGTAAATATTGTTATTTGATGATAATAATGATCAGATAATGTTGCTTCACCTGCCACTATGATGATTACAGTACTTGGACCAATAACTGTGGATACGAGGAGGAACATCTGATATATACAGAAGAGAAAAGGCACGCGATGGTTGAGGTATCGAATCAGATTCCACTCCTCGATCAAAGAAATGATATTAGCTAATGTAGATGCAATCCACCTCCGTCTTTGTTTATAGAACTCTTCAAATTCATCAGGACAGTAGGTTTCATTCTTTGAGGCTGCGCAGTACCCAATACGCCAACCACTCTGTACCTAAAATATCCACAAAATTTATTCATCTACAGATTAGAACTGCTAAATAAGTTTTTATCCATTTATGAATTGACGTTCTGACCCACTCTATTCAAAATATACAGAAATGAATATTTCTTTATGCATGAAAGATTTCTAAAATCTTGGAAACAGAAAACAGTATACTTTGAAATGACAAATTTTCTTTCGTGTTTAAACCATTGTTTCGTGTTTTAGAGAGATCCGAAATCAGATTTACACAAAATAGAAAAATACATACTTATTACTAATTTTACATCTTAAGGTATTCAATCCCTAATGGGATCAAATTAAATGAAATTGAAATCATAACTGATATATAGGCATTGGATACTCAGTTTATTTAAACATATTTCCCATTTATTACTATCAGTATGTATAGTGGAATGTGTCCTAGTTTATGACCTTGAGTTTGGTAAGAGTTATCTCCCTTTTTCTTGATCAATAAAAAAAAAATCAATTAAAAACAATTAGCCGGTAAAAAAAATTGTTTTTAATTGTCGTTCTATTTTTAATGTTTCGATGCATCTTTCCACCACAGGATTTATTGATATTCAAATTATTTTAATTTTTATTTTGGAAATATGCTTTTCCCCATAGACTTTAATGCAAACTTTGTTAACTAACTACTGCTTCATTGATGATTTTTTTTTTAATTTTCTCGCGGGCAATCCTTTTCTACTATAAAATGCTTCAATATAATATCGGTGTATAATGTACTTGACGGACATTTAAGGGTGGGGAATTTGGTCCCATTAGGGATGGAAATCCTTAACTCATGAATTAAATCCCGCAATTGCATATTTTCCCAAACCACAAAAGTTAGTGACTTTATTATAGATGTCGTCTTCTGGGATAACAATCAATACGTATTTTGCGTATATTTTTTTTTTCGAATTCATTCGTATATACTTGTAAGTCTTGTGAATCTTACCATGAGCGTGCACAACCATCTGTCCTCTCCCATTTTAATACCTATAATTGATTTATCATTTTTCATCCACGAATTAAATGCAAAACAACGAAACTTTTGCCCCTCAAAAATATGTGATTTTATAATACATGTCTGGGATAACAATCAATAAGTATTTTGCGTATATTCTTTTCCGAATTCATGCATAAATACTATTAAGAATGCTTCCTCGTGTGACCATTACCATGAGCGTGCACAACCATCTGTCCTCTCCCATGTCTTTGATGAGGAACTCAAAGGCTCTCTCAACATCTGAAGCATACTTGGGGAGGATACTCTTGATGGCAGAGCAGCGATAGACACTGAAACAGCCCGGGGCACAGAGAACAGAGCCGAGGACGTTTTCAGCGGCCTGGTAAAATATTAATTAACCATCATCGCCATAATAAACAAACATCCATTAACACCATCTTTACATAAAGACAATTGAACAAAACAAAATGAAAAATGCAAAACAGAAGTCAGTTTTTCGGGTATATTTATGTACGGAAAAATAAATTATCTTCGAAACATTTCCTAAATCAATAGGAAAGGTACACGGAAAACCACTTAAACACTGCTAAAGTTGATAATTTGAAAGAAAAGCACCTTTTGAAACCAGTGTCCAATTGCATACTCAAATTTCTGATACCAAACAAGCGGGCCCTTGCCTATTGGGTAGGTGCGCGCGGTAGACAGACTACTCGGCCCAACGACACCTCGGCCCGTGCTGTTTGACACCTCGGCCCTAACAGGTCGTCCCAAAATCGTTGACACCTCGGCCCATGCCGAAGACACCTCGGCCCATACCGAAGACAGCTCGGCACAAGGAAAAAAATTAATTTAGTTTATTTGTTTATATTGATTTTATTTTTATTTCTTGTATTTTTTTTATTGATGTAGATGTATGCATGACTAATCACGATACGTTTACTATAAATATACGAGAAACAGGGGCAGATAATATCAGTATTTTCGAACAAACCACAGCACAACATCAAATTAAAATCAGTTGATTTGGGAGGTAACAGGTCTATTTCATAATTTACTTTGTTGCTTATTACAATGCAACATTATCCATTATTAATATATTTATTAGCCATCTTTAAAACGTGTTTGGTTGCCCCCTCCCGACTGGCTGACTAAACTGATCTACTGTAGTGTATTGTACAGTTGAATTTACACTTGAATTTATGATTGTGTAATCATGTGTAAATCATCCAGTCTACATGAAGTTTTTGTCCTGTTCCACAAGGTGTTTTGACTTGTTTATTTTTGATATATATATATATATATATATATATATATATATATATATATATATATATATATATATATATATATATATATATATATATATTACCTTTTAATTGTTCAGATCAGTTCATTTTAACAATGGGAATCCTTAAAGGAACTCTTCATAAACATACTCTGTGTACCAGTTTGAAAACTGAATAAAGGACTTATGGCTTTTTATTTAAATAACACAGTCAATGTCACAATTCACAACGGCACTTCAGCATTAATGTCACAATTCACAAAGTCACACTAACAGTCTGCCAACATCCGAGAAATCTTCTTCAGTGCTTTCCTCGCGGAAAGCTCCCCAAGCGCAAGTTTCTCCCACACACCAAACAAGCGTCCCTGGAAACGTAGTGCGTTCTTCTTCTGTCTACGGCGGAGCTTTTCGTTGGAGAGTTAACTCCTCATAGTCTCCACCCCATATGACACGCGCTTGAGGGACTTTAAAGGATGCACCGCTACTTCTTGTTTGTTTAATGATTAGCACTTTATGAAATTACTAATGGGTTATCTCTCTTTGATTACCGTCAATATATGCCGTCTTTGAAGATTGTTAATGTATCAAATTTAATTTTTTTTTCACTCCACTTAGATAAATAGCATAGATAAATAATATATTTAATTTAAATATTATATTTTTGTTTGGGCCGAGCTGTCTTTTACGTGAGCCGAGGTGTCTGCAAATTTGGGCCGAGCCGTCGGAGCCGAGATGTCAATGGGCCGAGCAGTCGTTGGGCCGAGCCGTCGTTGGGCCGACCAGTCTGACATTCGTGCGCGCACATACAGCTCCGACAGAAGAGTCCCGCTTCATGAAGTCAAGCAGCGCTTCGACAGATTCCGGAGTAAACTTGACGTCAGCATCCGTTGTAAGAATGTAACAGTCGGACTCGCTCACTGAAATGAGGTCAAAACAGGTTTGTGTCTATAATTTTGTTGTTCATTGAGAATTAAACATTCAAAATATTACCGCAGATGAATTTTGAATACAATTCGTACGTCTGTGTGACTGAAACTTTAATTCGACTGAACTTCATTCATGAATATAATTTTCTATGTTAAGGATATATGATAAAAAAAATGATGATTTGATTGATATAAGTTTTTGAATTATTTAATTTGTAAATGATCCGAATACCATATTTGTAAAACATAAGGAAACATTCTACGATGTTCAAACGTCTACCCTTTTCTATTTTGCTACATGTGTACTACTGACGGAATTTTGAACATCATCCATTCGTTTAATTGGAGTTTTGAGGATGATCAATCTTTACATTTAATTATTAATGTTTATGTATTTCTGTAAGATTCTTAAATGTACCCATGTGTTGTTTATACACAAGAAGTCAGGCGTACCTGTACAATCACTTACTCCATCCAGGTGTTGCTTACGAAGAAAATCAAGGACATATGACATGTACATAATCTGACTCCAGCGCTTCTTCTTCTTTACCTTAAATAAGGTAAGACAGATGTTATCAGCAACTTAGGTACTTTTTGCAGATTACTTTGTTACAAGTCACAACGGGTATATTCGAATACACAGAAGAGTCAAATGTACATCAATATTAAATTATATTGAACTTAAATCCAAACATAACTAGGTGCTCCTTAAACATTTTAACACCTAATTTGTCGCCTTAACACTTCCTTCAGATAGGAAATCTATACGAAAAACCTTTATTATGCCTTACTTTCTTCGGGTCTTTCATATGAATGATAAAAGTCATTTTTGATGGTCCCGGTAGTTTCCAGCCAAACTTTAATCCGTAAGGTGTTGATGTCTTCGTGCAGGTTCGAAGGTCATCTATATCTGTAAAAAAATAATAAAGTCTAAAATACAGGTTTAAGGTTAGTATTTGGTAAAAACTCATCAGTGCGTGTGAATCAACTACAGGTATTACACCTTCCATTCCAAACCCCTTCTTCATTTAAATCCCTCTCTCTTTCTCTCTCGATTTATTTGTCTATCTCTTTTTGTCCTTCTGTCCTTCTGAGTCTCAGTATCTTTCTGTCTGTTTGTCTGTGTGTGTCTATCTGACTGTCTCTATTTATCTCTTACTTAGCTTTAGTTCCTTTAAGAGGCTGAGTAGCTGTAGTGTCTATCTGACTGTCCCTATATTCCTATCTTACATAGCGCGTCCTTTAAGAGGCAGAGTAGCTGTAGTGCGTAATCTGTCTGTTTGTCTTTATCTCTCTGTATGTCTATCTGACTGTTTTTCTATTCCTATCTTACATAGCGCGTCCTTTAAGAGGCAGAGTAGCTGTAGTGCGTAATCTGTCTGTTTGTCTTTATCTCTCTGAATGTCTATCTGACTGTTTTTCTATTCCCATCTTACATAGCGCGTCCTTTAAGAGGCTGAGTAGCTGTAGTGCGTAATCTGTCTGTTTGTCTTAATATCTCTGTATGTCTATCTTACTGTTTTTCTATTCCTATCTTACTTAGTGCGTCCTTGACAATTTTTAACAATTTTCCTATTTTTTATGCACTCGAAAACGATGATTTGGGGTAAATAGTTTTTGTCGTATCTGTCTGTCTGTCTGTTCGTCTGTCTCTCTGTCTGTTTGTCCGAAAAAACTTTTACCTTGCCCATAACTTTTTATTAGGTGGAACTATGACTTTTATATTTCACACGTGTATTCCTTGTCACTAGACCTTTCTTTGAATACCACCAAATTTGACCTTTTAGCCTTGACCTCGGAGTTTTGACCTACTTTTACACAAAAATTTTAAACTTTTACTTCGGCCATATCCTTTGAACAGTATAAATCAGGACTTTTATACTTCACATATATTTTTTTTTGTGGCAAGACGTTACACTTAGTATTAAAAAATTTGACCTGTTAACCTTGACCTTGAAGATATTCATACTTATGAAAAAACATTAACCTTGACCATAACTTTTGAATAATAAGGGATAGGGCTTTTATTTTTCAAATATGTTATTCTTGTAAAAAGACGCTTTATTGAATACCAAGAAGTTTGACCCTTTGACCGTGACCTTGGAGTTTGACCTACTTTTAAAATACAACATTGGCCGTAATTTTCCAAGGGTTAGGACTAGGGGTTTTATACTTCACATTTTTAATCCTTGTGAAAAGACCTTTTATTTGATATCAAGATCCTTTACCCTTTGACCTTAGACTTTGACGTACTTTTTACAAACTTTAAGCATAGCAATAACTTTTGAACAGTAAGAACTAAAGCATTTATATATCCTTGTGATAAGATTTTTTATTGGATATCAACAACTTTGATCATTTGACCTTGGAGTTTGAACTACTTTTTACAAACTTTAACTTTGGTCATAACTTTTGAACGGTTAGGTCCAGCGTTTTCATACTTCCCATTTTTAATCTTTGTCAGAAACCAACAATCTTGACCATTTGACCTTGACCCCGGGGTTTGTCTTACCTTTAAAAACGTTAAACTTGGTCATAACCTTTGAACAGATGGTGTTAGGGTTTTATATTTCACATTTGTATTTCTTGTGAAAAGGCCTTGCTTTATGTATCAACATATTTGAGAAAGCTTTACCTTCGCTATGTTGCCATACGGGGGCATCAGTGTTTTATAAACACATCTTGTTTATCCAGATGATGATTTTAATGGTTCTGTATATGGAAGAAAGCATTTTACTGTATTGTTTTTAATCTTTTGATTTCATTTTATTTTAGACACTACCAAAAGAAAAAAGATTGTGTTTGGTGTGTGTTGTAAAATTTTATCCGTCTACACTAATTATTAGGGATGTCAACGAATAGTCGATTATTCGACTATCAGTCGAATGGACCGACGATCAAATAATGAAACGACATTCGAATATCTCATAAAGGCAAAAAAGGAAGTGTTAAAGAATTCTCAGTTCAAAATTGTAAAGCGTCATTCCTCAAACCATTATAATATCCGTCCTCAGACGAATTAGAGCTTAAACACAGTCACAGTACATAAAAAGTTTCAACTTTGTTTACTTGGAAAGAACAGTTATGATATGCCGCGATAAAGATTTCTCAATTATTGGCCTTTTTGTTATTGTAGACTAGTAAATTATGCAGCGTTTTACTGGATTTTGAAAATTATTAATTGCACTTGTACCAATTATAAATTTATTTATTACCTCTAAGAATGTTTAAATTACGCTATAGGAACACAGAATACCCGTGAAGTGTTGAAACTGCGATAATTATTACAAGAATTATCTCCTCCCCTTTTGCGATTTATTTTAAATATGTAAGCTTTAAAAAAAACTGCTGACACAAATCTTTACGTGTACTAAAACGAAAAAATGTACATACCACTTTATGAATGTGATTTACGAAAATTCATACATTTTGATGGTGCAAATCTATTTCATTTCTACATCTTATCCCAACTTAAGAATCTGAATATCGGTGCGTAACACACAGTACAGGCATTTGATGTTACTTTTTAACGAAAAGGGTGTTTATTTTATAAATACGCTATTGATGAGATTTTAAAAAAATGCTTCGAATAGTCGATAATAGTTCGAATAATGCAATCTCATGTTCGACTAAAGAATATTAATATTTTGACATCCCTACTAATTATGTATTTTTAATACCATGATTTAATGATATAGATATTTTTCATAGAATGTTTAAGATAATGCTGTAAATATGTTTTTATACCTTCCATAGCTTCGACTATCTTTCAACAGTACATGTTATACACAGGACATAGAATTCAACTTAACAATGTTTTTGTCATTTGAGTATTTTAATAATCGCATTGCATCCTCATTGTGCATATTTTATGTTTATCTAAGATTGTTTATATCTTTGCTGATTTAGCTTAATATTCTATTTGCTTTTATGAAGAATTTTTGTTTCATAAATTCAACTTTCGTGTACATTTGTACGAATTCACTTTTATGATTTTATTTTTTCTTTTTCATTTTCTTAATCCTTGAAATCAGTCTTTACAGATTTATATTTTTGGACTTAAAAAAGATGACCAAGATTCTACAAAGTGTATTTTGATAAATAAAATTAAATAAAATACAGGCATCTGAAGAGGAAAAATTACTAAACATCAAATGATGATGATAGGAGACAGATAAGTTCCTGGACGAAAAATGAACAAACAATAATCTAGTATTTTAAACGTTGGTCATTTTTAACATGGACTATAACCTACGTTTTATTTACATATTTTTTTTTCTTTGTGATTTATTTTAGTTTTACATATGTAGCTTTTCATACTATTCATGCTTTTATGCACATTTTCCTAACAATAAAAAATTATTTAAGATGAATTGCTTGTCTTTTTTTATACAAGAAGGTTTGACATTTTCTGTAACGCAAAACAACCTATATATCATTTTCAGCTCGACTAACCGAAGCGCCAAGTGATCTCTCATCAAAGAATGTCTGGTGTCCTTCTGTCCTGTAGCGTGTCTAAACATTTAACATCTTTTGACTTCTTCGACAGAATCACTGGTCAAATTTCCAACAAACTGACCACAAAGGCCGGTGTTTAACATATCAATTCTTACAATGTAAAATACATGTTTTCAATACATCAACCTCGTACGACTTACTAGTGTTTTACTTCCGTACGTCATTTCCAACATATTTCTTTTTAATATTGCCATAATTTTTGGGATACTTTGCCTTTTTCGTATCCCTATAAAAACCCTGATGTGTATACATAAATCGTCTTATTTTGCTTTCCACATTTACACATTTCCGTTAGCAACGATTTGGAACACCACTGTTGCACAAAACGACCTCTAGTTGTAACGGAGATCATTTTACCTAGTGTCCTATTCCCTATACACTTAGTGTATAGAATAAATGTCTGTTTCATAGTTTAGTACTAGTTAAACTATTTACGGGTATAATAATACATATATAGCAGAATTAGCAAAAGATATTCAGATTTC